GGATGGGGATGGGGATGGGGAATGGGGATGGGGATGGGGATGGGGATGGGGATGGGGATGGGGATGGGGATGGGGATGGGGATGGGGATGGGGATGGGGATGGGGATGGGGATGGGGATGGGGATGGGGATGGGGATGGGGATGGGGATGGGGATGGGGATGGGGATGGGGATGGGGATGGGGATGGGGATGGGGATGGGGATGGGGATGGGGATGGGGATGGGGATGGGGATGGGGATGGGGATGGGGATGGGGATGGGGATGGGGATGGGGATGGGGATGGGGATGGGGATGGGGATGGGGATGGGGATGGGGATGGGGTACTGACGAGAAGCTGCCGATGAACGACACCAGGCAGGCGAGTTGTTACATGCAGCCCTGCGACGTTTCTGTCTTTCACTTTTCATGGGGGGTACATGGAAGAGCAATCCCTGGGACGTCATGTTGGATCGCAAGCACATCAACACGGGGCTCCACCTGCAGATTTCTCAAGCCAGAAATTGCTGGTAGGCCGCAGATAGGCAGGGACTAATGACGACAGAGCGTGGTCGTCCAGGATGGCAGCACTGCATGCTGGACCTTATGATCCGCAACGGCCATAGCGCGTGAGAGCGTGGATGGGAATTATTACTGCCTCTTTCGTCGCAAAGCTGGGCGGAATATCCAGATACAGAAGATTACAAAATGATTCATCACGATTGGAATCGTCGGGGGATTTGCGAACAATATATAGCTAGCTATCAGGTAGATTAGTCATATGGATGAGACCTGTTTTTGCCGTACGCAATCAGGAAAACTCCCTGCGGTGTATCTGCTACTTAATTGTCTGGACCTCACCGACTTGCCGATTTTAATCACAACTACTCACAAAAACGCGCACAACCGAGCTACACATACGAAGCCCTGCCATCCGGGCTGCGGCGACAGGTAAAACTAACTTTCGTTAATAGAACACGATTACGTACGGTAAGAGAGGCTGCGCTCACCAACCGCCATTCCAGCACAATTCATGACAACCAGCCACCTGCAGTTAGCTACGCTGCATGCCGAATAACCCTCGAGGCGAGGTGTTGATGTTTGTTTCCCCAAGAACAAGGTGAGGTGTAGCCCGAATGGGAGAGCCCGGAAAACCCAATCCTTAAGATGGAGATGCAGGTTCATACACAAGCATCAGCCAACGCGGCTCGAGGGTGATCACAGCGACACTTTTTCGTTTCGGACAACGACATACGTACAAATGTACACCAGCCGCCGTAGCATGCTGGCGTACGTAATCTGGGTAGACGCAGTACGTAATCTGTCCACTTGACGGACGCTCTGCTGTGTTTTTTTCCATGATTATATGATTAGAAACACGGAGCATTATTTGTGACGACGCGATGGGGCGTTGCTTCTCCCGAGCTAACGCCAGGAGGCCCTGCTAAGCGGCGGCACGGGGCCACTACCGCAGGTGCCGCAGGCCTAAAAGCAGCATCCAAGCGACTGGACCGAGCGACTAAAACCTAGTAGTTAATGGAGGCCGGTATGAGAGCACTCACGGACTGCGGGGCGTACGTTCTGTTGGGTAACGATGATGCACTTGGGCTCACTGATTCGGGCCACTATCCAGCTGTGGATCAAACACCTGATGGTCACAAACAGACATACATACATACATTCAATCACGCGCAACTCCATTCCCCAAGCAATAAGCTCACCGTCTTTTACTTACCCACTTTGGAGGAGACGGCACGCTGGCTGCAGGCAGTTCCCTGCCGCACTTGGCAGAGCGCAAGTCAGACCCTGCATGGCCGGCCCCCAGCTTCCCTTTGCCGTGCTACTCCACCCCATTTCCCAAGCCGTGCGCCTATGCAGACCAAACATGACCCAGCAGTCGGAGGCGCCACCTCTTTCCCCGGCTCCTAGGGATGCTAATGCTGAGGAGGGCTTTGGACACACAATATTCAATGCTTCCCCCGCTACTCCTTCTTCTTCCCTTGATGCTCCTTCTTCTTCCCCTGCTCCTTCTTGTCCTGCTTCTTCCCTTGCTGCTCCTTCTTCTTCCCCTGCTCCTTCTTGTCCTGCTTCTTGTCCTGCTGCTCCTTCTTCTTCTCCTGCTGCTGCTGCTGCTGTTGTGCTCCTGACTGTCTGACAGCGCAGACTGCGAAAGCCCGCGAAGAAGTGCACGACTTTGCCGTGACACCGCCGCGGACCGAGGTGTCGTACATCGGGCACCATGAGGCCCCCGGGCGGTCGCCGTACCAGCAGTCCATGCCGCGCGGTTCGCACAGCCTGGATAGGGCCTCTGCACGTACGTATGTATGCATGTATGTGGTTCACCGTACATCCATTGGGAAGCAAGAAGGGAGGGACAAAGTTGGGGTCGGCGTGTGGGCCATCATCCGGGCCCCGAGAGGAGAGATCCCGACGCGGGAAGGTCTAATGGCCGGGCGGATATCCGGATTCTTCAGACACCACGAAGCCATCTCAGGTAGGGGCCCATATAGGGCCGGATGACCCCGGGATGGTGCGCGTGTGGCTATGTTGGGCTCGTTAATTACGGCCCCCCTCCCTCCGAACCCACTGGGCCTGCTCTGCATCAGATTTACGATTCCCCTCATATACACGCCTCCTGTATAGGAAACGCCATGTTGTCGTACGGAAACGACCTTTCTAACATTAACACACAGTGGGAGGCTCTCCTGTGCCTAGTGTATACTGATAGGTACGTGCCGTACAAGCCTGAGTCGTTGTCATGCTCACCAGTGCTCTCCTTGAGCGTCAGCGGAGCCAGCTCCATTCCCCTCCTGCTGCAGGCGGCCTGGGCCTGAGGGTACGTGTAGGTGGCGGCGGTGTCCAGCACGAAGAGCCACTTGCCGATGGGTACGGCTGCGGGGGCACGGGGATGTGGGTCCGCTGGGAAATGGGGAGGGGAGGGGGCAGTCGTAAGGGCGGCAGGAGGGACGAAATGAGGGGGCAGGACGCATGTATGTAAGTATGTAGGCATGTAGGCATGTAGATGTAGGCATGTATGGCGCCACACCGTCAAGTAAGGAGTTCGAACCGCGCAATGAAATGGACTGGGCCGCAGGAAGGCCGACATTCCGAGGTTACCGGAATGTCAGTTAGCTGTGGACGTTATGATAGTACGACACACAGTACCATTCAGTACCATTCCTTTTCCCGACACACCCGAGGGTGACCTCCGCTTCACGCGGGGTTTCGCGTGGGGCGCGGGGGTGTGAGATGGCCGCCTCGGGTAGTGGG